GGAGGCAAAACCCAAAAGCTTGCCCAGACAAAACTTATAAGGAAATTAACTAGTACGAGTTAACTACCACAGGTTATTGATGAAGTCATGAAGAGTTACTTAAGACTGTTTATGACCCATGGGTGTGTGATCACGCTGGAATATTTCGTATCGAGCGAGTTGTTTTCGAATGATACCGTTTTCGCTTCTCAACTTCCAAATTTTCGATCCACCCAGTCCCCTTCTCGTAGATCTGCGGTCTTCGTATCACCTTCTACGTATTTCTTCCAGTTTTTAGGTGGCAGCCACACTTGTTTCTTGTTGGTGTTAACAACCACAATGTGTTTGACCACCGTACGAGTATGTGTTGAAGAGAGTCGTATGTGTTGAAGATTTCCATATCAACTCAATCGCTTGGCTTCAATTGCACCGAAGATGGATCCTTCCACATGCATCCTTTGTCTGATGTCTTCATTTCGAGATCTAATTTTGACACTTCTTTAAAAGTTGTTTTCAAGAGACATCAGCCGGGCTCTATGTCTCTTACTTAATTTCCATGTATCTGTCCGTAAGTACATATGCTCTCTACTATTGTATAATAAATAATCCATCTACTCTTTTCAGTGATATTTATACACTCCCAAGTAGAGACTTTAATTGTTTAATTGTCCAATCAGTCTTTTCACTTGAACTATTTTATTAGAGATATTGTCAGCATTTAAGATGTCGAGATTCCCCTATCACCTTCTTTTGCAGATTATGTCTTTTGGGTGTTAACAGTAGGACTCCTATTTTCATACTGTTCTTGAAGGATGCAGAACTTATAGCTTGGGTCAGTTTCATCACCGACAACCAGATCATCGGCGGAGTGTAAAGTATATAGTATATTGTATTTTACAAGCAGTCTCTCCCATTACACTTCCTTTTCCACATCATGAATGCTTCCTCAAGGTTGGTTGGTTGGTTGTTAGAGATTCCAGGCGTGTCAACAATATCATTAGTCCCGTAAGTGTAGTGCATTCCCTCGTGAGACTGTGGTGATCTCCCGCTAGATGGCAAGATCATGCGCCGATCGACTAGCGGTGTTTCCCTCAACCAGGTATCTCCCACCAGCGGTGCACCACCCGAGCCGGGCCAAGCTCCCAGCTCCAAACCGGGCTTCCTCTATATAACAGTGCGAAGGCTAGGAAAAATTCTTTTATTAGACCTTTGGTCACAAATTCATGAGAATGTCTTTTCCCGATTCTGACTGAGACTGAGAATGGCACAATATTGTAAGCTTTATGTAAGACCACAAATACCACAGGAGTAATATAGATATATTTCCATTCAGTAGGTAGGACATCACCTTCGTCACACTTATTGAAAATAATAGCTAATGAGTCTATCACACAATCATAAATGTATTGTATGGCCCTCCAACTATGGATTCATGATCTGAAATTGCAGTTTTCGTTCAACAATATGGAATCATGAAGACATATAGTAAGTAGCGATATTGTAATAAATATTTTTAGTAATTGAGGAATTAAATTTTGATTTTTTGAATTTAACTGTAATGTAACTTTAATTTTTTTATTGTAATATTTTTCTCATTATCAATACATATCTCAACAGAATATTACTTGCGCCATGGTTTCACTTTGTTGAGAAAAAATTGCATTATGATTTCGTAAATCATTTAGAAGTTCTGGAGGTGGCCCGTAGTCACTCGTATGTAGGATGAGGGGCCTTTCAATTTCTAAGGTGAGGTTTGTGGCTTCAGTGACGTTCGAATGTGTTAATAATAGAGACGATGATGATTATGATGAGTAAAGATGATGGATAAATGAGTGAATGAGAGACAGTAAAATCAGAAGATCCTCGAGGAAACAACTTGATTTCTTGTTGTGAGTTGGCCGGGGATAAATCAGGGCTCCAAAGGAGGTAGACACTAACCTACGTACCGTCTGGCCTCCTGCACCACATGAAAGTAGTCAGGAAATTAACAAATATTCTTATGTATCAGCGACTCTGAAAGCGTTTTACTCTCGTTGTTTCCATTATTTTGCTTCCAAATACTCCAATCAATGACCCAATGTGTCATCACCAATAGGAATTTGCAGTCGTTTTGCATTTTGGAAAATCCTACGACATTTGAGGTTCAATTCGCTGTTGTATCCCCATCTCGAATTTCTCCAAATAATCGGCGGTTCTCAGAAAAATTCCCTTTCTCATATCTTCTGCTTCTTCTGTTATAACAACATAGCAGTCATATAGAATAAAAATTAGCAAATTGTCAGCCGATTCGACATTTTAACTGGTTTTGAATGGTTATGCTTTGAGAATATGATAATGACGTTCTTAATAGACATCCTCAGAGACAGAAGCTAGCATCCGTAGCATAAACGTTTTGCATACATATTTGAGAGTGACTTGTACTTTGTTTCTTTTTCGAGATGTTGAATCACCAATGTCTTCTCTTAAGTGCAACTTAAGAAACATTTTAGAAATGTATGTGTCCTTATGTCAAATTTTGGGAATTTAACAAAAAGTATTGATGGAGGACACATTTGGGTCAAAATGTGCGTGAAGTGCATTAGAAATTTGGAGAAAATCAGTAACGTCTTTAGTCGTTTGGTTCACAAGACTAAATAGATACTGAACTAATATTTCGCATTTCGCATCTCTGCACTCAATTGGTCCCATGGTCTTCGCCTGTTTCACTTTTTTTCCACCTCCCGCGCGTAGCCTTCCAGACGCAGTGAGCGGTTGAAAGCGACGTTCGCGAGACTGAAGACGCCATCGCAGCGATATAAAATACCAACGAGTACAGGACAAAGGCCGCGCGCGGTGCGCAGAAAAACATGCGCTGATGGCGGCGGCGGGCGGCGGCGGGCGGCGGC